AATTGTGGTTTCTTCACGGTATAATTGTGGTTTCAAAAGAAAACTTATCGTATCTCTGACCTATCCTAACATTTCTTGAAACCTAGAACTAGAACATTCGGCTTTAGCCGTCTTAAGACACGAACGGTGAAACGCGAACATTTCTAGTTCTAGTTCTAGTGCTAGTGTTAGTTCTAGTTTTAGTTGTTATTCAACGTTAGATTGTTGTATATTTTTCATTGAACTAAAACTAGAAGTAACATTAGACTTAGAACTAAAAACTGGCGGGTTAGCCGTCTTAACACATTCGCATCGAGCTATTTTTCGTAAAACTTACTTATAAATCGAAGTATTTTAATATTAAATAAAACCCGATGCGAATGTGTTAAGACACCAACTGCCCAAGATTTTTACTAACTCATAGTGAGAAATTGTAGTTACGTACCCATGTGTGACGTAACGAACGGACCATTCAGCTATGCACCTGTTCCTAGGATGTAGCAGTCCCCTTAGATTCTACCATACTTGTATCAAACAACAGTTTCTAACTTTATATTTAAACATTGATTCTACCGATATTTGGCCGGTATAGATTGGCAAAAATTACTTTATTAACGTAGTTTCAAAGATCAAAGAGAAATAAAAAGAAATGTATGCCAGTAAAAAAGATATTTTTTATCAAGATAATAAAATAATACATAATTTCTAAGCTATTCTAAAATAAAAAGTATCGTTTTAATTCTACATTTTCATTTTAGAGGATTTATATTAACCGATACTGGTTGATTGTGGCCTGTCCGAGGTTGTAAAAAGTTGAAACCGAAAGCGGCGGCGGCGGAAGATATGCAAATCCGGTCAGGCACACGGTCCGAACTGATTTATACTAAATTTGATTTATTGGTTGCGCGTAATTACTGGATAATGCCACATACCAACGTCTAAATTATGGAACGTCCGCATTTTTGATTTATGGCGCTTTGGGTAGAGACCTGTGTGTTCCCCTTTTTGAACTTGTTGGGGTTTTTGAGTAGAACAACGGGTTAACACGTGTACTATGATTTGGGTACACGATTTCAAAGTGGAACTGTAGAGAGAGAGTGTAATTGTATCATAAAAAGTAGCGGGGAACATGCTTTCGATCACATAAATTGTGGACGTATTGGAACGGGGCCGCCGCGCCGCTCTTTATTCACTGCACAATCAAAACATCACCATTATCTGGCCGGAATATCTCCGATCGGGGCCTTAAATTTCGCGTAAACCCTGCCGTAAAACTAAATCCATCAGGGCGCGCACGAGCAGCATAACTCGACTCCAATATGTCGTAATATTCGACGTTAACAGCTCGCCGAATGAATGAAATCGCTGTAACGAAATCGTCCGGAAGATAACGACCCGGTCGGCACGCCTTTTTTATCCGTGCGTCCGCGTCTGGACGAGGCCGGACGATAAAATTCCAGGTAATTGCACTAAAATCCGTGCCGTGACAGTTTAGTCTTGTTAGCGGATGGCCCGGCGCGGACTATTTTCATTTAATTGGTGTCCAAATCGGGAATCGCCAAGATGTTCACTAATTATGTCAGCTTTTACGACGTCCCATAATCATATTTTTCCCGACGAACGCGACAAATCCTCCGAATAAAATGGGAACGAGAAACGGGGCGTGGTAGACGACGGACGTGGATATTTTCATTTCAACACTTCTGAGTGCTGCTGTTGTGTTATTAACAAGATCCCTTCAACAGTTCGCATACCCTGAAAGCAAATATGGAAATTCGTTTTAATCAGGTTTTTGCTTTTACACATAGCGATTCACAAAGGATAATGGACGAGCGTCAGTAGTAGAGAGTGATGAGATGTGGAAAGTACTTGTTAAATAAATTATTATGTGTAACAGTATGCCTAATTTTTTTAGGTTTTAATGATTCTTATTCTAACTTTAATGAAAGTAACAAAAATCAGTATAATCTGTACAGTTTTAGTAAATTCATGAATAATCCGTAGTTGATAGTCGCGACAATTCGATCGTTTGTTCAATTCCATCTCGGTATACGCAACGCAGGCAGTAACAATAAAAAAACAAACAAACGAGCGGCGTAAATTGTGAAACAAAACAATTTCGCATCACTTTTTTCCAGTATCGGCAATCCACTCGTTCGCGGGCCAGCCAAAAAAAATGGAAGCTCGAAAAATAACATCCCCGACAAAAATAGTTTAACGTTCGGGTGCAAATTCGCAATTTGCGTTGTGGTACGACCGTAATGAATGTTGATTATGCCGGGCGGACTGGGCCGCTGTTTTAGTTGTGAAATATTTATGCCAATGCGTCCAACACCGGGACTTGTTTGTAAATTTTTATCCCGGAAATTGCGAGTTTACTATATATATATAAACATTGGACGTTAACTCTATTTGAAATAATAAAGCACCGAGAAAAAAAGTGGTTTGAACGGGCTGAGATGGAAATGAAATGCTCATTGGAACGTGCCTAAACCCAGTGCGGTGTCCCGCCGGCTCTGTACAATACACTTCCGATGAGTTTAATATTAAATTGAAACGCATTCAGCGCGCGGCTTAGCGATTATTTAATACCAAGTTTCTGTCTCTCTTCAACCCTCGTTGTAGGTTCATTCGCATGGATTAGTGGATGAATATAGCGAGCTTTACGGAAGCGTGCGCGAAATTCTACTGCCTTTTTATTGACGTTCACTTCAGTTTGTTCCGGATTTAACAGGCCCTTGTTTCACACGGTGTTAACGTGAGGCAAATAAAATTTTGTAATCTGCGAACTGAGTTAAGCTTTAACGCTCTTATGGACAGACGCGGTTAGCGGTAATGAGAGAATATACACGGGGACGGGCTTTTCCAAAAGCTCCGAATACTAGAAAGTGGTAAAGTTTTGGCAAAAACCCAGTACGCCAAGCTATTCTCTTCGCAGATATTACTTCTTTGTTAATTGTTTCGTCGCAACGACGGCCCCGATCCGGTCGAGCTCCCTCTGCGACGACAGGCTTTCTGTCGGTTCTGTTCATTAAGGACCCGCCCGCTCGACGACGGCCCGACATAAAGCCTTCCGGCTCTAACTAATTAAAGATTTTCAATCTTCGGAGTTCTCCTCATAACTAGGCTGGCTCTCCTTGACAAAACACTCGACTTTACCGAACAACGACTAATCATTCCCAACGGAAACTGTCATTGTTATCTTATACTAGTGTTCTAAATTTCATTTTTAATCGAAATCTCAAATCAAAATTTATTATGGATCTTATAAAGATATACAATATGCAAAATCTTCTTTGTTTAAGAACAGCACTTAGACACCTTGGCATCGATTCTACTGGTGGTTAATTGAGGTTGTATTTTAACCCATTCTGTCTTTAACGCTATTTTTAAGTCAACTACGTTTCTAATATCGTAATTTCGTCTTGAATATTGGCAATAAACCTCAATAGGATTGAAATTTGAGTTTTATGGCGGGGTTTTGAGTTATTTTGGACAGTTTTGCACGATTCAAAGTCTAAATTTTCTATTATTTATAATACCTGCCGCTGAAAAACATCCCCATACCATTGCTGAGCTTCCACCACGTTTGAACGTAGGTATCAGATTATGTCTCTTGTTTTTCTCTCGCTAAATTCTTACTCGTCCATTTGATGTTTTTATATTGAGTTTAGACTTCTTTTCTTCTTCTTATTGGAGATGAGTCGATCTATTAATTCTGAGGTCGTTGCCTTTGAACCATTTCCTGAGATATCGGTTGTTAGCTGTCACGCCATCTCTTTGGGGATCTCCCACAAGCACAGTTTTCCGAAGTCGATCATCGCTCATACGCATCACGTGATTATGCCATTGTCTTTTCCGCTATCTTCCCCGTCTCACCATGTCTAGAACGTTACATTGATCTCTATATCCGAATTTCTCACTCTGTCCATTCTCGTTTTCCCTACAATAATTGATCTTAGTGTCTTCATCTCGGACACTCGTAGCATGCTCTTGGTTTTGTTCGTTTCTGCCCTCACTTCTATTCCGTACGCCATTATCGGTCTTACACACGTCTTGTATATCCGAATTTTGCTGTCTGTTCGGATATATGGGTTCGACCAGATTATGTCTCTGATATTACGGATGCTTTATTAATTTGCTTCCCTAAACCTTTCTGGATCATGACCGCTAGATGTGTGTACGCCTAAATAGTTAAATTGCATGTCTTGTTCTATTAAATTAGCATCGTCGTCTTATCATTATTGTTACATCATCCGCGTATCACACCATACTAACTCTCTTAGTGCCCATCACATACCCCACATTACAGAATGTTATAATTTTATCCATCAGGAATTAAACAAAAAGGGGCTAACACTGTCCCCCCTGTCTAATTCCTCCTGAGGTGTCAATAGCGTCAGTTACTTGTTATCCCTGCTTTTACTTTAGTTGTGTTATTCGTATTCAACTCATGTATTATCTTTACTATGTTGGCCGGCGCATTCTTTTCTTTTAAGACCTTTATCATGTCCCCCAAATGGACCTTGTTGAAAGCTTTCGTAAATCGACGAAGCAAATGAACGCAGGTTTGTCAAACTCGATGGACTTTTCTTTTAACTGTTTGATTATAAATTTAGACTCATCTGTGAAAATTACCATTTTCCAGAAGTTAAAATCTTTATTTTGGCACTTTTTACAAATGCAATCCGTTTTTGTTTATTACTTACTAATTTTCTAACAGCATACTGACTTTTAAATCCAAGTTTTAATCAAGTTTAGAACACCCTTACTGATTTAACGACGTATTATTGTATAAATTCTTTTTGTTAGTTTCAATCGATTTATATTTTTTAGTGCTTTCTTAACTTCACCTGTCTTTTTATAATTCCGCACCACGTATTGTAGACTACAAATGCTACGCATAATTATTTTTACGATTTCATTTCGAATTTTTATAATAATTCAACTGACTTTGAAGTTTTTTAAAGAAGAAACATAAACGTCATTCAATAAATTATAAATAAATCAAATACAAAAAATATATTTCAAGTTTTTATTCATTCACTATATCATTACATTTAGAACGAAATTGATTTGTAGATTCCAAAAAGAAAAGGCGTCACCATAAGTATAATTAATATCCCCAAACACGAACAATTTAGAAATTGGTACCATCATCGTAGTAGTTGAAATCAACTGGTTAAAGGTGTGCGCCTATTTACAGGATGCACAGCGTCTTCGGTTCTTGATGCAATCCTCTTTAGGGTGATCTTCACATTTGCAGCGTTCCTCCTTGGGGTCGCGTACGTACTCTTTGTTGCAGATCTCGCAAACTTCGCATTGATCGCCTTCCATGCCTTCCATCTTGACAGGGGTCGTGAGTGGGTGTGCTTCCTTCCTGACACAGAAAATTTTGATTGTTTAACTGTTGTCACGGTGCCGTTTCGCAATCGTTTTGTTTAATCGTCAATGCGATCCTGATAGACAATTTTTTGATAAATGACAGTGACGGTTTGAAATCGTTATTTACGTTTAAATTATATTTTAGAAGAAAATAACTTACCGATTATGTACTTTTACAACGTCGTTATCTAAACTTCCTTATTAATTTTTCTTAATTTGTTTAGTTACTTTTAATGAGGTTACTTTGAAGGGTAATTAATTGTGAGTGTTACACTTGTAGTCGCTCTGTGCGCGACTTTGTGACCTGTAGAAGTAAAAAGCGAACAAAAGAAATGCACAGGCGACTAACGAAGCTAATAAAACAAGGGATACTATATGTGATGTTGATTCTGTCATATTATTGTGGGTTGACTTTGATTTTCAGTCAGTTGTCAAAATATGAGAGACCCTCTAGAAAGTCAGTTTAATAAAAATAGTCTATCATTTATTGTCCGTTTATAAGTTATTGCGATCCTTACACGCCTTGACACCTCGAGGGGGGGATATTTCATCAGGAATCATCCACTCGTACGTTTCGCGTTTTAGCAGCACCCGGAAAGCTCGATGAAATATCGCGTCGATATTATAGTCGAGGATGATGAATAGTCTGCGATATTTTCCTAGAGTTAATGCAATTGCCTATCGATACGTTCTACTAGTCAACATGGCTTTAACTAAAATTGCTTTTCATTATTCGGGGATAATTTCGCAAAATGTCAGACCAAGAAGTTTCGTTCTAGTATAAGGGAGGCGTTAACTGTCACCGACGTTTAAACTTTGTAAACCGTAACTCGAAGCACAAATTACAATCCGCAAAGTATTCGCCGCCCTTCCTCCCCGAAATATTGTAATGGACTTTGCGGAAACAGGGAAACTTGGGGTCTTGATGAAAATCTACAAGGACTACTGCTCGAATAATAATTCCGGGGAAGAAGAGAAGCGGGGACGATTTTAGCCCGTAATTAGAGACCAGGAATAATTACATTCCAAACCGATTTCGGGGTTCTCTGAAGGTGCGGTTTTAACTAAGGGTCGGGCGTTATTAAAATTATATTTTAACGTTCCGCTAATTGAACTCCAAATCGAATCCGTCGTGCGGCATTAATGGAATCGTTTTACGGTCGCGTTTTCGCTGCCCCGGCTACCAATAATAATACGATTCAATGAGCAATTATTTTCCTTTGTGTAATGCGTTTATCGATTTTACATTACACTAGATTAATATTAAAAATTTAATTTTGATTCAAATTTAATTTTTATCTTTAAATTAATTAACTGAAAAATGAAAACGGTACAACAAGGACGCTCTTTGGACATGTAAATTTTCCATCAAAAGCTGGATTATGAGTCGCGCCATCTTATTTACACGGAATTAGTAAGTAATCCCTTGATTCCAAAGTAATTGCCGTTTAATCGCGAGTCTCCGTGATGGCCTTCGCACCATACTGCCCTCGGGCATGATTTATCGGGATTAGGTGTGATCACGGGGTAGTTTCCCATGAATACCAAGTAGTTTTGCACGGCAAAAGGGCTTTACGAACGATGGGAAGCTTTGGGCACTCAAAGTTTTCGTCGAAATTTAAATTAAATATCAAAAAAACTTAGTCAACTTATCGAAAATCTAACCGGAAAATAAATGGGTCTCATTCTGTAGTTGTTGTTTAATTCAATTCGAATGAGGAGGAAGTAAAGTACGATCTGTCAACCTAAAGGACCCAATTAACAAAGTAATAGTTGGGCGTTAAAATGTTCAGGCTGAGAAGGGAAGAGGTAGGAGTAAATAAACACGGAGATTACTCTTGGAATAAGATGGAAAACGGGTCGGAATGGATGCAATTTACCATCCGTAGTCTAATTTAAATACCCCGGAGGTGTGTATTATAATTAAAGTCCCTTCCCCGTACGGCACCGCCCCCGCAGTTGGTCGAGATACACGCGTTCGCGTTCCGAATAATTTATATGTTTCAAAGCTGATAACCGACGTGAATACACAAGCGCGCACAACTCCCTATTTCACCGAAAATTACTCTATTTTTCACCTGACGGCCGCGAGTTTCCCGAGCCGACAGCGCGCTTTGAATAGCAATTAGGCTTAATTATTTCAAATGGTCTGTGCGGTTAGAGTCCTATTTTCCTGGTGCCTTTTATGTAGCGACCACTGCCGTTTAGGCAATTGCTCTAGCGTTCCTGATCTTTGTCTACTTCGAAACAACTTCACGAAATCGTGTTGAACGCTTACAGAAAATTATTAGGTACGTTTTTGAAAATTTACATTTTTACTAAACATAGGATGTTTAGTTTTACTCATAGACCCTCTATTTATGGTAATTTTTACTTGGATAATTTTAAACTATATATTTTTATTCATATTATTAACTTTAAATTACAGATTTTATACATTTTAAACGTATGTATGTCTCTTAACCTTTCTGATACGGAGTGTCTAAAATTTCACGAAGTCCGATGTGGGCTACTAATGTATCCCACGAAATTTATTTGATGTATGACAAAATTAATAAGAAAAATCGTAAAACATTAACAACATTTATTTGATAGTTATGAACAAAGAAATTATATTAAACTAAAACTAGAACTAACACTAGCACTATCACTAGAACTAACACTAGACCTCGAAGTGACAATTAGAGACTAATTAATAACTAATTAGTGTCTAATTGTCAACTAAGTTGTTTTTAGTCAAATCCGGGTGGAGAACGGAGGATTTTTCTGGTTTATTTTTATTGGGCAACAGTGCTGGCGGAATTTCTCTTTTGTTCTGTCGGAATGTGCCACATAATGTAAGATTACGATTAGACAGTTCATTAGCCACTGGTATACTTGTAAAGCAATTATCGGTAGTAATACCATAACCTCGACCAAGGCATGAAACCAAGTCAAGTACAACACGCTTTCCTTGTTGTTTTTCAGGTTTATCATGTACTTTTCCTGCAAATTCATTGCATATGTACTTTCCACATCAACAAGGGCCCATATTTTTATGCCGTACTTAGCTGGTTTAGATTTCATATAATACTCGAAACGGGCACCTGTCCCTAAATCCAACAAGTTGTTCGTCCACTATAAGATGGGTATTTGGGTTGTAGCTATCTTTATAATTAGTCAGAAATAACTCAAAAACTTCTCTAATTGCCGCAAGTTTGTCTGTATTTCGTCGTTCTATTCTAGTTGTAAAATCATCGAACCTCATAAATGAGATAAGATGCTGATTCCTCGAGAATACAAAGGATTCTTGCTCCACAGGAATCTCACTGGTTCTTTTTTTGTGTTTAGAGCCCCCATTGTAATTAGAACACCTATTACAGCATAAACTTCAACTCTATCTGTTGGAATCCAGGTCCTACAATGTTTAGTTCAATAAAAATATACAGCAATCTAGGGCTGCATAATAATTAAAAGTAGAACTAACACTAGACGTAGATCTAGAAAGTTTCTGGTTTAGCCGAATACTTCTAGTTGTAGGTCTAGTGTTAGTGTTAGCTCTAGTTTTAGTTGTTATTCAAAGTTAGATTGTTGTATATTTCTATAGTTATAATATATATAATATATTTCTTGATGATATTGTATACAATACAACTATTGTATACAATATCATCAAGAAATTAAAAAAATTATGTTTTATATTTAATTATATTTGTATACATATTAAATTTATTTTATACTATAAATGTTGACTGTATAGGATAGTTATTGTACCACCTTGAATAGTTTACAGGGTACATATTTTTCCCTAACCCATTGCCACCCTCGGAGTACAAGTCTATTATATTTATTCTAAGCCGGCGTTGTCGCTATTTATCACTGCCAGTTTCCTTTATGTCACCCTCTTTCTGGAGCTTCCCCGCGGGACACAGCACCATTAATAATTCCCGAAACTTATAAACTTGTATCGCACGATCTTCGACACGTATCTTCTTCACGAAATGGCTAAGCTAGTAGAGGCGATAGGTCAGGTCCGGTTGCCCGAGGGGTTCCTCACCTAACGGCGAAGAGCTGATAAATCAATTTGATGCCGAGCCATTCCCAGAAGATCCCCAGTCTGTTGGGTTAGAGTTTCGGTATTCCGGTCTGGCCGCGACGGACTTCATTACTGACCGAGAAGCTAATGCGGAAATGTCATCGGGGGACGACCCTGTAAATAGGACGGGACATTGTTGCTGGTAGATGGGAGAACTCAAACTTCCGGCGCTACACGAAACCGAAAGGACAATTTAATTAATACTTCTTTTCATCGGTTCTGAGGGCTGTGTCGGCCCGCGGCAAAAGAGGGAACAGAAATAAGCTACAGAAGTTCCCCGCAAATCGGATAACCGAAGACGGTTCTGGCATTTAATTGTTTCCGATTGTCTTTTCTTTTTCTCCCCGTCGATCGTCGTTTTGTTCGTCGTCGGTCGGACAAAAGTTCTACTAACGATTGGCTTCTTCCTGAGCGGGTTCGCAAAAAAACTCTGTAGAACTTTCCGGGATAAATCGTCAATATTTTCGTTCTGGAATCTGAACCCGGCGTAATTTCCAGCGGTGCTATAAATCTTGGAGAAAGATCGCTTTTGGAGTCCGGAAATCAAATCAACTCGCTTTTTAATTGTTGATTAATGGGCGTCGCAGCGTCTTATTAATTATTCCTTTAAGACGACCCCGAGGAGTGATTAAGTGTGATGTAAACCCGTTGTGGACAGTCGGTTGGTATTCATTAGCGATGCTTGTTCGGTGACTTTTCAATTGCAGCTGCAATGTGAATCTACAAGAATGACATGTGTTAAACGATTAAAGCACCTTATCATAACATAATACTAATTACTCATTGTTATTGAAATTAGTTGTGTCGATTTTTTGGTTCAAAAGTTAAATAATATATATGAAAGATTTAATACATTTTGTACCACAATATTTATTTGAATAATATCGAGTGGTGGTAAAAACTCAATTTCGCCAGTAATTAATAAAATTTATCAATTATTCGAAATCAATTAGCCCTCTACTGTCTAAAATAATCGAACGCCGCGTTGGCAAATGGTATTATGTTTGTTTTGTGTAATTATTTGCGCTCCCGTTGCAAAAACAAGTCTGTTTACGTTTCAGGAACGGTGCCGTTGGCGTTGGTCGAATAATTTATATAGATTAAATTAAATTCGATATTATTTATATTAAATTCGTGATTATTATTTTTCGAATGAATTTAAAGACCATGAATGTCTTCATTCGAGGTTATTTACGACGATCAACAATCATGAAAAATCCATTCGTACATCGATGGGGCGTTATTCATCTCCGAGATAGCGTACTCCATAAAACGGTTTTACAGCCGGGTTAGTAGATATTAAGCGTAGTCTAAACTCAGGTTTACGGCCGGTTCGACTACTG